ATACGCGTCTGTATAGCCACTGTTCAAACACAGTATCGCGGTACAAACGAGAAGGAAAAAGGAGAGAAAGATCGTTGCTCCTTCGAGCAATAATTTCGACGAATTATAACGAGGAATACGTTAAATATAATAGATCGTTCTTTAACGAATTAAAACAGTCGAGCTCGCAACTCCGTGCACTTTCATTAAGAAGTAGCAGTTGATTTCTGAATAAGTTGAAGTTTCTTCGACTTAAGATAAAACTGCTGAAGTCTGTTTCTTCGCAATTATGGGTCAGTTGACGTTGAAACCTCGAAAACCTGGTGTGTTCTTTATTTCGGCAAGAAAGTTTCACTCAGTTTCCGTGGAAAAATCGAATTCCTCCGGAATCGTCTCGTCCTTCTCTCCCTTGGGAAATGTAATATTGTTGTTTAATCCTGGCGCGACGTTAGCGGCAATTGCGTCGCTTCGAAGAATCACCGTTAGGATACACGTTTTTCGTCCGAAGTTCGGAAAGTTTGATCAAAACGCGTTCCCGCAGCAATACATTTTCCCTAACTGCAGCACTTCTACGTTGGCTTTCAGATAACGTTGGCAAATACACCCGGGTTGTTGAATATTTTCGGGAAATCAAATGTTTGCGCATGTGTGAATACATGTACAAAGCTATTCTACGAGAAGTACGGGAATATTTGGTTGCTCGTGGGACCTGGTTCCCTAATGAACGTAACTTCGCAGAAATAGTAAGCTGTGATAATTCTAACTTTCCACAAAATTGATTATTTCCCGTTATTTCCGATTCTGTTCAAATTTAGACACCCTTCTCGACAAAGTAAAATCGACGCGTGTAATCATTCGCGATGAATATCAGTTTGTACAACCTCGTTGTGCCAATATAGTATGTACGAAAGCGATATTTCGGCAAATTGATGTCAATTTCAGTAAATTGATATCGATACTGTAGGAATAGGGTTTTATTAAGATGTCTATTCCGCTAGTTACAGAGATAACACGACGAGTAAGACTAGTTCGTAGCGCCTACACAGGCCTTATCGTATCGTATTGTGGCGTGTTCTTGCAGACTTCTTCCAGAGTCACTCCAAGCTGACAGATTGACAGACTCTTTCCGGATTGATTTTCGGCTGATTTTCGACTGTTTCCGCGTGTCGTGGGCACGTGCTTTTATCCTAGCCCAGCCCGAACGTTCCACACATTTTTTCTAAACCCGGCACGTTCGGGCTAGGGGCCTGC